AAACTTATGCTTCATAAGTGAGTAAACAGCTTGTCAGATATATTTCTAACTGTAAAATCCTTCTGTGAATTAGTCATCTTGTTCTGATTTGTTTGTTAGAATGTTACATGATAAGGATATTAGTTCCTTATCATTTGAGTTACAGTTTTTCTGTTTGTCATTTGTTTTTGACTTTGTTTTTACATTTTCTTTTGATACAAAAATATTAGAAATTTATACTGTCCTACAAATCAGTATTTTTTTTTTCCCCTTTAAGAGTTCTGGGTTTCAGGATATGCTTTAAAATGCCTTTCCATTCACACCAAAGAGTTAACTGTGCTTACTTCCAGGAAGTGGAATTGGAGAGGGATGGGAAGAATGCTTACACTTTGGGATTAATATATTTATGTGTTGTTTGAGTTTATTTAAAAAAGCATGCTCTTCTATTACAGTTTTTGAATACTTTTAAAATATAGAAATACTTTTCTCACTCTAAGATGATAATCTTCTAGAACTGTTATTTTTTTTAAAAATGTGCTCATTTAAGGAGTTTTATACAGTTCTTCTTTCCAAATACTTATGCAATTGCCCCAACTTTGTTAAATATTTTATCTTTTCTCATTGATGTTCCATGCCACCTTTACAAGATGCCTAGTTTCTGAATACATTTGTGATAATTTATGGCCTCTTTATTTACATCCACATTCCTATATATTCCTGTGCCAATACCATAGTGTTTTACTTACTGCAACTTTATTAAAATGTTTTAATACCTTTTGGGCCACTTATCCCTTCATCCTTTTTTTTCCCCGGAAGTTTTCTATTCTCTAACGTTTTTTATTTTTTATTTTGGAAACATTTGATCAAATCACCACAGACACTGTTAGTATTTTCATTATTATTGCAATGATTTATAGATTGAAGGAAAACTGACATTTTTATAATGCTATATCTTTTTATCCAACAAGAAGGCATATTTTATTCTCCAGTTTTCTTTTAGGGCCCCAAATTGTGATTTTTGTGTATTTATTTTTTACTTAGATACTTTATGATTTTATTGTTCTATTAGTTAATTCTCTTGGTCTTTCTAATCTTTCTAAGTCTCTTTGTTTTAGTCATGTAGTTTACAGACAGCCTGAAGTGTGGTTTTGTTTTTTGACTCAATTTGAGGTTTTCACTTGCTAAGCATTTTATCCCACTTTTATTTAGTTCTACAACAAATGTTGGTTTTGCTTCTGTATTCTTATTTCAAATAGGTTCTTTCAAGTTTCCTTCCTTTTTATGTTGTTTCTTTTCTTTTTTTTTTCTTGAGATGGTTTTGCTTTGTTGCTGGGCTACAGTGGCATCATCATAGTTCACTGCAACTTCAAACTCCTGGGCTCAAGTGATCTTCCTGCCTCAGTTTCCTGATTAGCTGGGACTACAGGTGCAGGCCACCATGCTTGGCTAATTTTTTAATTTTTCGTATAGATGGGATCTTGCTGTGTTGCCTAGGCTTGTCTCAAGCAATGCTCCCACCTCAGCCTCCCAAAGTGGTAGGATTACAGGCATGAGTCACCATGCCTGGCCTCTTCTTGATGATCTGCTTCATAGCTGCCATCCAAAAAAGTATGTTTTTTTTTTTCTTTTGGTTCTAATAGTTAAAATAGTTACTTTTGTAACCTATAAGATATAGATTTTTTTTGTTTAGATCTGAGCTCTGTCTCAAACTATTATCATAAGCTATTATTTTTACATTATGTAAAAGGTCTTAAAAAGGACACCAAAATTGAATGAGAACTTAATCTAAAATTTCCAGGTCCCATTAATCTCTTAAGATAAAACATACTGAATAGCTCTCATATTTCAAGTACTTACTATGGTCCAGGCATTTCACATGTTATCTCGTTTAAGCCATAGACCATTTCTAGAAGGTATTATTATTCTCATTTTCATGTGAAGAAACCATGTCTCAAAAAGTCTTAGAAATGTCCAACTTCAAACAGTAAGTGGGATTTGAACCATGTCTCTTTCTGCAAGTTGCTGCTCCTTACTGCTCCTCACATTCCTCTACATCTTAAGAGAAAAGATAAAATCTAGAGTTTTCATCCCCATGATGAATCACTTTAATAATCAAATGAAAGGACTGGAAGTGAGACTTTTCTGGGTATACTATTTTAACTTTTGAACCATGTAAATGTTTTACGTTTTTCAAAAAATAACATTAAATCAATAAGGAAAATTAAGCTAACCCTAAAACTGAAAATAAATTGAAGCTAATAAACTTAACTCTTTATCAAATTGGTTAAATAACCACACAGAGAAAATAATTATTCCAAGTGATTCTGGAACATGCTCCTCTGGTATACATTCTTGTATACCAATACGCTAATATAACCAACACTTAGGAAACATCAGTCTGGCAAGGGAACCCTTGGGCCAGGCCCTAGAAGAGTTCAACCTTTTCCTACTCTGCAGTTTTCTAGATCAGTTATGTTGATACAGAACCACTTGGGATGTAAATTCTCAGGAAAGATTAGAACATCATCAAGGGGATATATCCAAAGCACACAGATGCTCTGAGTGTGATAGAGGGCTCCAGGATAAAACCCTGATCACAGTGGTTCACTGACCATGGACTGTATTATTCAGAGTTCAGGAAATCTGTAGGAGAACAGAGTCCCTCAACTCTTAGTCCTCAGCCACAGTCCCATCTTAGGTGTCTCTGGGCTAAGGCCTCCCCTGGTGTTAGGGATGATGGGAGAACAAGGCTTTGAGCCTGTGAAAGCCTTACATCATCACATGCTAGAGCCCCAGCTTTGTCCTTGGGGCAGAGTCCCAGGTGGTGGGGTACACATGCTCCTCCAGTTCTGGGAAGCTGCGCCTTTCATCAGAAAAGAGGGTAGGAACTGAAAAAGTCAATTGGGCATGACATACAGAAAACCCTTCTTAAAATTTTCAAAGAAGGAAAAATAGAAAATGTTTTTATCCACTTTAAAGTGAATAATAAGATGGATCACAGAGCTCCATTCATTACAGAACATCAGATTACTCATGCATAATGAATGTCTGCAGCTTGCCTGGAGAGAGAGGAGAGTGAGAATTGGGTCCCAGCCGCTTACTCTAGTCTCTCAAGATCAGTGCAGAGTCATAAAGAGAAACAAAAAGGTGTAGTATTGAAGGTGTAGTATAAGGTTCTATCTAGTCAGTGCCAGGCTGCCCAAGGGCTAACCTTGATCTCACATTTCCATGAGGACCCAGGTCCACAATCTTGGAGGACATCAGTTCCTAGAGCAAGTCCCTATTAGAAGACAGAGCCCTTAGAGGGGAGGCCCACAGGAAGCCTGTTCTGTCCACCTGTCAAATGAAAGCATCATGGAGCTGTATACTAGGGGTGAGTGGTATGAGATATATTGGAACCACTATTGGTTTTTGAGGCAGATCCTGGTTTTGGACAGCTCTTTAGCTTCCCCAGGCTTCAGGCTCCTCCTCTGAGGTAATATCTGCCTCCATGCCTCACAGGGTTGCTGTGAGGATCACATGAGGCACTCACTGGTCTGTGAAAGACCTTGCTATTATTGTTCAGGACCAGCTTACCTTGTATATTGATTTTGGTGCTTTCAGAGTTTAGTCTCCCCAGAGTCTTGCCTAAAGGACCATTCCAGTCAGCCTCCTCTATTCACCATGAGTAACCCAGCTCTTGGTTTCTCAGACTGGAGAGGTTGCCTGAAAGAATCTGAAGTAGCAGGGGATAGGGATAAGCTTTCCTGAGGAAAAGGTCTTTAATCTCTCACCCCTTTCCTGTATCCCTTTTCCTAGGGTGGTTCAGTTTCAGGGCCCAGTGCAGCCTGGGGTTGACATAGGAGGGAAACCCATAGGGAAGGGAATGTGAAAGAAAGCCTTGGAGTGAGGAATAAGAGAAATTTGTGAAGTTGGAAGGTGGAGACATGTGTTATGCTTCATGCTTTGCCAAGCTCCTTGTCCCAGCTCTTTTGACTTCAGCTTGTTCCTCTTGTCTTCTACAGCCACTTGGACAAATTCCATTACAGGCAGTTTCTGGCAAGTTTCCTCAAGATCCCTGCTATTGGTTGTGCAATGTAGTGGCCATGGAAGCTGACATTCTGCTGTTTGGGGAGCCTGTGGAAGACGCAGCTGCCTTGGAGTCCCATGGCTTGTGCCATGGCTCTGAAGGGGGTATCTCGAACTCTGCCTTCAACCTCTTATCAGACTCTCAGAAGACCCAGAACTAGATCCTCTCCCTGAGCCTTTTACCTCTGGTTTCCACCCTCTCACAGGGTTCTATGGGAGCCATCTGCTGACTCTGTAACACTGGCTGCTCTCTCTTCCGTGGGCTCTCCAGAGCTTTAGTTACCTTTGTTGCCTCTTTGCCTGAGGACCTCAGGGAGGTCCATCATCCCTCACAGAATTCTTACCATTTCCTGTCCTTCATTGCATCCTGTTTTATTAAAGCACCTCACTGCCACTCCTCTCATCCCCATTATTGGCTTTCCCTTTGTGAAATTTTAGTTGGAAAAGTTCAATTTCACAAAAGGTTTCTGAGCATTGTTTTGAGATTGAAACCTTCCTATGTTTGGTGTAATGGGGGGTTTCAGAATTCTGTTGTTTGGCCTATTACAGTATTTGTCAACCCTAAATCACTTCTTGGTTGAGTCCCATTACCTAGGAAATCAGCTGATTAATTCCAAGAAATTGGTAGCAAAGGAAGTTGGATGGCACCCAGAAGAAAGTAAGTACAAACTCAACAGACAGTGTAATTGCATGCTTTAGCCAAATCATGAGCAAATTGTAGCCTGGTGTTGGACTCACACCAACGAGTGAGTAAGGCTGCAAAAAACAGTATTAAGGATAAAGACCTTAGAGGTATCATAGTTAATAAAGAAGTGTCAACAATTTAAATCTTGGCAAAAAAGAAAGAACGAAGAACAAAGAATATTCCAAAATCTGAAAAAATTGGAACTCTGAAACACTTCTGGTTCTAAGAATTTTGGATAAGGGATATTCAACCTGTATTATACACAGTATAGTCTTAATCATTTTTATTAATTACTACATTAGCTAGGTAACTGATTTTTGTTTTCAAAGTATGCAGATTGGAGCATGACAATCTGTGGCTCAGGTCATCTTGTCTAATGGGTCTTGGGGAAGTTGTACACTTCGTGAAGTCACCAGCTTGGTCCTGATGGTCTTGGGTAGAAGGTGTCTCTTCCTGCAGTCATCTGCTACAGAATGATTTCTCCCATACCTCTGCTTGAGGTCTTTGTTACGACAGCCTCCAACAATTTTAGTGTGGCTTATGTCTTTATGTTTGGGAGGATTTACAGTTGTGTTAGTTGTTAACAGTACTTGGTAAGGTCCTTCTTCTCACTGAGGTTCCATGAGGTTCCACAGCAGTCTTTCTCTGATGTCTGATCCAGTGACCAAAGAAAAAAGAAAGGAAATTTGTGATAAAATTATTCAAGAGAATGTCAGAAAGACTGAGTGTTAATAGAATATTTTGATGACTCAAAAGAAAACTCTGTTATCTGGGCACAAAATAACTTGGTCATTTTATGGAAAGAAAACTCTAATTTTATTATTTTTGTGTATCATCTATCTATATTACAATTTGCAGAAAAAGATTTATAAGATCTTTCTTGTGAATAAATCCATTTACATGGAATGTACCCAGAAATTTGTCTTTTTATCATTTATAGAATTTTAAAAAATTTTAAAAATATTAATATACCTTCATATATGTAGATATACATAAATACATATATAATAAAATTAACTTTAGTTTCAAGGTATAATTTATCTTAGCATGTTAAAACAAATGTGTATATTAATATTACATTGAGTTACCATTTTAATAGAGTAATAATCCTTAAACAAACCATATATATTATCTTGCACACACATTCATAATTTTGTGTAATTATAGATTGAGCATGCATAATATGAAAATCCAAAATGCTTCAAAATCTGAAACTTTTTGAGTGCTGATATGACAACACAAGTGGAAAATTCCACACCTGACAACTTTGCTTTCTGATGGTTCAATATACAAACTTTGTTTCATGCACAAAATTATTAAAAATTCTGTATAAGATTACCTTCAGTTTTTGTGTATAAGGTGTATATGAAAAATAAACGAATCCCATGTTTGGACTTGGGTCCCATCCCCAAGATATCTCATTATGTGTATATTAATATTCCAAAATCCAAAAAAATCAATCTGAAATACTTCTGGTTCCAAGAATTTTGGATAAAGGATATTCAACCTGTATTATATGAAGTATAGCCTCAATCATTTTTATTAATTACCACAATTAGCCAGGTAACTAATTTTTGTTTTCTCCAAACACAGGGAAAGTAAATTGTAAAAGTAATAGTAAAAACCAAGAACTTCCTAGCTAAGTTTTTATGAGTTCACATTTTATATTACCTTTTACATTTGCAGGAGGCAGAGTGAACACATCATCCAAAGGCAATTACATATTCTATTAATCTATATTTTTTATATAGTATATATGAATAAGCATAAATTAAAAGTATATATAATATATATTTTGTCTTTTTTTAGCTTAGAAACTGTCCAAGTATCCAAATATTATATATCAAGTAACTCAATATTTTCTAAGATTATAAAATTTTAACTAAGTATTTGGAAATTACAATTTTAGCTAAAACATATCTTCATGATTTGTAGTATTGTAAGAATTGTATAAGACCAAAACTCTTTTAAAAGAAATCTGTGCTATGATTTCACTTAAACAATTTTATATTTTGTAATCTTAAAAAATTTGTTCCAACAATGATCCTTTTCTTGTCCCATAAAGCCAATATAGGAAATTTCAAAAGTTTAAATCTTGAGAAATTTTAATCTTAGTATGATATAAACTAGAATACTATGTTAGCATTAATTTTATATAATGAAACCAGGACAATATAGACATAGAGTTGTGTTTGATCAACATGATTAGCTCATTCCAATTTGTCTAAAATTTATCTATTTATCAGAAATAGAAATATTATAGGATACTTCAAAATATATTTTATAAGCTTTGTGTTCATGAGACAAATGTTCGGTCTTAAAACCATTTATTTATAATAAAAGCTCTTATGTTGAAAATAAGATCTTTTTGTGTTCTTAAGTGGCAGAAAAAGGAACAAAAGAAAATAAGATCTTTTCTCTTATAACTGGAGTAAAGAAGGCTATGATGTACATATATTTGTCTACTTTTTTTTTTTTTTGAGACAGAGTCTCACTCTGTTGCCTAGGCTAGAGTGCCATGGCATCAGCCTAGCTCACAGCAACCTCAAACTCCTGGGCTCAAGCAATCCTACTGCCACAGCCTCCCAAGTAGCTGGGACTACAGGCATGCGCCACCATGCCCGGCTAATTTTTTCTGTATATTTTTAGTTGTCCAGCCAATTTCTTTCTATTTTTAGTAGAGACGGGGTCTCACTCTTGCTCAGGCTGGTCTTGAACTCCTGAGCTCAAGCAATCTTCCCGCCTCAGCCTCCCAGAGTGCTAGGATTACAAGACTCGAGGCACTGCGCCTGGCCTGTCAATGTTTTTAATACTAAAGAAAGTTTAACTGTTTTAAAGAAATTTTTGACTACTTAGTATGTACAATAATAACAATGATTCTTTTTCTGAGCACTTAATCATTTAAAATTTCCCAAGTGAGGGAGAGAAGGATAGGACAGCAACAATAATGAAGTGGGAGAGGTGGCTATGACACATGAAATTATTACTGTAAAAGGTTATCTTCCTTGTGTAAGAAGAAGAGAGAATGTTTAGGTGCAGTTAACCTTTTTTTTCATATATCTATATATCTATATATATATATAGAGAGAGAGAGAGACAAAAGAGAAGTCATTACAGCTGGTTTAAACAGTAAAACTAAAAGCCCTTAACAATTTTATCAGGCCAAACAATTAAAAGCCAGTGCTTATTGATCCCCAAAGAATGGAAGTGTAGAGGAGATCCATATTAATCACAGTGATCCCTCCCATTTAGACAGACCAGATGTACAATCTCCTCTTGAGAGTTCCATTCCCCTTTTTGCCTCAGGCACTTCTCAAGTGAACATTCTTGTTCTTGTCAAAGTTCCCCATGTGGCTACTATAATTCTAATTCATCCTCAGTGAAGTTACGGTAGCACAAGTTTATTAGCAGACAAGCCCATGAGAAATTGCTTGACTGTTGAGCAAAGATAAAATATTACTTGTGTTTTGGGCCCTCAAAAAGCCAGAAAAAGAATATAGCCCCAAAAGATTAGAGGTCCTTAAGAGAGCCAATGCTAAATGAAATCAAGGAGAGATTGGAAGTGAGGTTCTACCAAGAGAGTCACCCTCCTAGGCCAGGGACTTCGCAGACACCCTAGTGAATAAAAACCTCTAGTTTTTGCCCCAGATGGAATAGACTTCTACAAAAAGTAACTTGGGACAGAGGAGAAAGGCTGAAATGCTTATTTCAGCAACTTTGTCTCAGGACACAAGGCCAAGGGCGGGAAGGTCGCTTGTAAAAAACTAAGTCAATGTATATTGTCCATGTTCAGTTGAAACCGGAGTTGTCTTTGGGTGAAGTGTGGTAGTCACTGCTCTGAGCACTTGGGGTACACCAGCGAGGAAAACATTTGTCCCTCAGTCAGCTCCCTTGCTGCGCTATTCAAAACTATATCAAAGCTCCTTCGTCCTCCTTTGTATAGTGGTGAGTATCCCCAAAAATAAAAAAAAATAATAATAATAAAGAAAAAGCTCCTTTGCTTGCCTCAAACTTCTGCTCCTCCCACCCCCTTAACACGTTTGCTACTTGTGAAAGGAACCACGGGCCTTCAGACGGAAACTTTCCCTCATCAAATCTCCCAAAGCTGTCTCGTCACCCTCCTTTCCTTCATACTCACTCCTGCGTGAAAAAGGTGTCCTGCCAGGCCTTCCTGGACTTTCTCAAGAAGGGACTGGCGCTCTTGCTTTCCTCATTACAACTTGTTTCACTGGTACACCTTTGGGTGACTATTTAGCTTCCTTAAGGAAGCTTCTCTACCTCTCTGCTGGCCTGGTTCATCGCACCTAATTAACGGTCAACAGCTGATGGCGGGAACTAATGGGGGAGGGGTTGGCTGGTGTCTCAGGGGAGGCCCCGCCCAGTGTGGTCTGGGGGCGGGGCCTATTTGGGGCGGGGCCATATCTGAGGTAAGGCTGTGGCCTGGGGGCGGGGCTTGCGTGGCATGAGGCCTTGTGTCTCCAGAGGCGATGGAGTCCTGAAACAAGGGCTGGGGGCCACGCTCACGGATGTCATAGTGGCTGGAGGGGGCCTTTTTGGTCGCCCCTGCCTGCGGGCTCGACCAGCATACCCGTCACCTCAGCCCCCAGGGTGTAGCACTGGGGCCAGTGGTCTGGGCTGCAGCCTCAGAAGGCCCCAGAGGTTCTGTCAGAGCGCAGAGTCTGTCCCGAGGGAGCTGGGGGCCGCCCTCTCCGCCTGAACTCAAGGAAGATCACCTCCACTGCCACCTTGGTGTGACGTCTAACACCCTCTGCTGGCGATCGAGGCCGCCCGCGCACTTCCTGCTGGGCTCCGGGCATGGCACACAGCCCAGGCCCCACATCTCACCTTTCCACAGGCCGAAGCGACGACGCCGTACACCTGCCGAGGACGGCTGCCTCGAGGAGGCGAAGGGAGCGGAAGCCTCTGCTCAGCGCCTGCGTTCCCGGCTGGGCCAGAGGCTCTGCTGCAGTTGCCACAGGACTTGGCTGGGGTTCAGCATCTCGAGCTTCCCCCGCAGCACCATCACCAACATGGCCCCCCACCATCTCGCTGGGCCGGAAAGGTGCTGGTGTCCTCAGCAAGGCCAAGGGGCACTGTTCGTCCGGAGAGCTCCAGGAAGAGGCCCGCCAGGGCAGCGCGTCAGGGGCCAGAGACGAGGCAGGCGCGTGAGGGCGCAGCGGCAGAACTCTGCGTCCCGCCCTGGGGACTCCAGCATCACAGCTGCTGAGTCTAGAAGACCGGGTGGAGCGGCGGGAGCAAAGCCTTGGAAACTCAGGTACTGATGCAGTCAGGTCTTTATTGAGGGCCTCCTTATTGTGTTGTTTCTTCTGTTTGCTTTGGTTTTATACTGCCTTTTCTTTTCCTAGTTTCTTACGGTGAATATTTACTAGGTCATTGACTTGAGACCATTTTTCTCAGTATAAACTTTCTCTTTTGTGAAGTGAACATAACCTCAAGATTGTATTGTCTTTATGATAAAACCATAGATGAAGCTCAGGACTGGATCATTTGAACTTTTCCCTTGTTATCTCCTCCCAGTTAAAATGCTTGCATATTTTAATAGCCAGCATTCACAATTTTAAGCTCAGCACTATCTTTTTGTAGTTTTAGCTTTTCTCTAGAAAATTGGCTTAGTCTGTTCACCAAAGCCACTCTGCTCCCTGTCACTGCCTTTTCTAGGCATACAGAGAGTCCTTGCCCTCCTTGCACAGTGTCATTTTGGGGGGTTGGTGCTTGCCACACTTACTGAGAGCCTGGTGGGTTTTAGGAATGTACATGTTCTTGAGAATGCGATCGCTATTAACTTTTGATGCTATGAATTTCCCTATAAACACTGATTTAACTGTATCCCATAAATTTTGTTATGTTGTGTTTTAATTTTCATTCAATTCAAATTATTTTATAATTTCTCATTTGACTTTCTCTGAGTTATTTAGAAGTATGTTTTTAATTTCCAAATATTGTGGATTTTTCAGATATCTTTCTATTCTTGATTTCTAATTTAATTCCATTGTGGTGAGAGAACATACTTTGTACAATTTCAATTTTTTAAAATTTAGTTGAGTTTTATGAACCAATACATGGTCTAACTTAGTGACTGTTTTATGAATGCTTATAAAGACTGTTTATTTTGCTGTTGTTGAATAGAGTTGTCTTTAAATATCAATGAGTTAGTGTTTTTATAGTGTTCAGGTGTTCAAAGTCCTTGATTTTCTTTCTGTTTCTTTTACTACTGAGAGAGGATTGTTGAAGTGCCCAACTAAAATTGTGGAGTTGTCTGTTTCTCTTTTGCATTCTTTCAGTTTTTGCTTCATGCATTTTGAAAATCTGCTGTTAGATGTATATACATTTATGATGATTATATCTTGTTTGTGAATTGTCCCCTTTATCATTATCTAATGACATTCTTTATCTCAGGTAATATTTTTGTTCTGAAGTCTACTTTGGTATTCATACAAGCACTCAAGCTTTCTTTTGTTTACTGTTTGCATGGCACAGCTTTTTCCATTATTTTACTTTTAACCTATTTATGTCTATATTTAAAGTGAGTTTCTTGTAGGCAGCATATCATGGGGGCTTGGCTCTTTTATCTAATATAATAATCTCTGCCTTTTAATTGGAGTGTATAGACCATTTACATTGTTGTTATCGATATGGTTGTATTTAAATCTACCATTTTCTAGTTTTCTATTTAATTTATCAAATCTTTTAGGTAGTTATCTTCAAATAATATTACACTGTTTCAGGTATAATGGAATAACTTTATAATAGGATACTTTTCCTTTCCCCCCATCCTTTGTGATGTATTTTTTCAAATTTAAATTTCTTAAGTGATGATTTAATTATTTGAGCAAAAATATTATAACATTTCACATAAAGTCCCCTTGATCATACCTTCCTTTGAGGTATACAATGTTACCAGTTTCTTATACATCCTTCCAAGTCTTTGCTATGCATTTATGTGTGTGTGTAATGTGCATGTGTATATGCTTAAAATACATATAGTTTTTTAAAAGATAGTATATTATGCATATCATTTTATAGCATGCTTCTTTCATTCAACAATGTATCTTGTCAGTCTAACCATAATAGTACATATGGATTTGCCTCATTCTTATAAACCGCTGTATAGTATTCCATTAACTGGATTTTCCAGTTTTTTTTCAAGTTGGTAAACATTCATTTCCTTTTATTCATTGTGGTAAACAAAGCTTTAGTGAACATCCTTCTGTATGCTTTATTGTAGACATTGGCAAGTGACTCTCTACATATCTAGAAATGGAACTACATTTCTCATAGAACCTTCTAGCAAGAAATAAAGGGGAGAGGGGAGAGGTGGACATTAAGCCTAGAAAGATCTAGGGTTGCAGTTAAATTAGTGATAGTGGGGGCTGGTAGTGAAGATATTTGGTGTGGTAAGGATGTGAGAGGATTTAAACTCTTGGAAAGTCTTTGGGAAATCTTAGATAGTAATGGCATCATCTTTAGAACTCAGGGACTTCTAGGGGAATATGGCTTGGTTATTATTTTCATGCCTTGCATATAAAGAAGCAACTTTTTTACTTCATCAGAGAGAAAAGAGAAGGGTATGGTTGACAGCCCAGTGGGGTTATAAAAGTAATTGAATTTAGAGATTATGTAGTTAGACACCTGTTCACATGGGAAACAAGACCTTGAGAGGGAAAGAGACTTACTCTAGGTCCCATATGGAGTCAGTGGTAAAGGTGGATCCCCAGCACTAAATGCTGACATTTTTTCTGCCCAGCTATATGAGGCAGAAAAGCAGAAACAGGAAGGAGATAGCTTAATGCAGCTAGGGGAAGTGGTGGTGGGGGCCACAGAGTCGGAGAAGCAAACAGCATTGCTGCCCACTCCCCCCTCCCCCCGCAGTGCACTGTCTTCCTTTCTCCAGATTCCTGTGGACTTCTTTCTTCAGCAGAATCAAAGAAGTCCAAAAAGGAAAACTAAACAACCCAAATTACAGGATAGAGAAAAAGACCCATTTCCATGTAAATGTTACCGTTCTGCAGCAAAACAAACATAGTGGAAATAACGTGGCTTTGGTTTGGATCTGATGTGGAAGATGGGTGATGCTTATAAATAGTCTCTAAACCAACAAGTGGAGCTGCAGTAATTCTCTTCTGAGGGTAGATGGATGGAGATGGGCATATTACCCAAAGGAAGTTATTTAAAAAGTGGCCCTCTTGCAATAATTATTAATTTCAGGCAACAAAACAAACAAAAGGAAAAAATACAACAAAAGGCAAGTGTGAGTCATTAAAACCCAAATGCTGTGTACTCAAAAGACCTCTCGGAGGGGGAAAGTTATGGAAGTGGGATTTGAAACTGTGTCTCTCCAGGTTCTTGCCCATTTATACAGCAGAAGTCCTTGAAGTCCTCAGAAGTCCTGCTGGCCAGCCCACAGCACTGAGAATGCCCTTTGAGAGAGCAGCATCCTGGGCTGTTGTCTTTGAGGACTTGAGAACAGTGTATTATTCCTCGGACCATAATGCTCCCCATGGAGAGCAATGTTGCATCATCTGCCTTGGGATACTTGGGGTGCTTTTTACACAGCTACATTCCTGAACTACCCCACCCCAACTCTAGTACTAAATCTGTATTTCTGGGGGGTGGGTCTTATAATCTGCATATTAAACAATTACCCAGGTGATTCTTGTCTCTGCCTGCTGCAGTTTGGCCCAGAGTGGGTTTGCCTAGTAACTTTGCAGTAATAAAGGACCTGTCTTTTTGAAAGTCTGCATCAATTATGTTGAATCCCATCAATTTGCTGTTTTTGTTTTTATCTTTGTAAGTCAAAATAGTCAAGTATTGGCAATTTCTTATGGTTCAACCTTGTATCTGTGTTTTCTTTAAATTTTAACTGAGCTCTAGAAAATGAGTTTTCTAGATCTTTGATTGGACACATTTAAGGTTAAGAGAATTTTCAAAGGTGTGAACATTAACTAACAAGTAACCTAGAGCAGAGGTTTCCATGCTGGTAAGTTTGAAAACCATTTCAGGGGGCACCTTAGAATTCTTGTTTCTGTCAGGAGCTGTGAATTTCAAAGATACACTTAATGAGGTAGCAAGTCTTCAGGTTTTAAAGGTAGTTATTACATATTGTTATTTATGTTTTTTGACTCAAGCTCTTTTTTAAGATCTCTACAAACATTGTTGGATGGCATTCTCCCCATATGGCAGAAAAAGTTTTAAGGTAGCCATGTTAAATCTCTTCCAAAATAAAGAAAGGATATCAACACATGAATCAATCACAACAAAACTCCCAGTGGTGAATTGATGGGGCCAGGATCCTAGACATAGCAA